TTTTTTTTTTTTTTTTTGGTTTTGGTTTTGGTCTACATGTGACTTTGGTGCTGTTGGTTCTGGGTGTGATTTCCTGTTACTATTGGTGTGATTGGTCACACATGCGAGTCCTCTGTAGTTAGGCTTGTATGTCTTCTCATAGAGCATTGCCTGGAGGTGGGAGAGCAAGTTCTTTCCCTGATATTGGGTGAGGTGTTGGGTAGTCAGGGTCCATCCACAGACCTTGTCATACCATGAGGTCCTTCCAGGTTGATGATAGCAATTGTGTTTGCTGGAGATCAATAAATCTCCGTAGTCACTGTGAGAGAGTACTATACAAATGAGCAGGCTAGGCCCTCTGTGCATAAATTAGCATTTCAGTAGGTGCTGGGAATCAAGCAGTGTCAGTACAAGTATGTTTGACCTGCAAGAACTATCTCTGTATGAGATGAGTAATGTTGTAGCTGTGCAGATGGTAGATGAGGGCACTAAGATCTCCTGCTTGTCATTTGGCAGAGATACAGATGGTGCCTCTCAGAATATGATTGGCATTGCTGATGAGGTGATGTGTCTGTCTTTCTGTTCACTAGGTATAGGTACAGTGAGTATTCTTGCCATTCACTGGGTTATGGACACTGTGGTTGTATGCTACCAGTTGCTGGGTGGTCAAAGTAGGGGTGCACAGGTCACCAGTTGCCAGGCATGGGAACTTGTGCTGCTAGTCACTGGGTGGGGTAGCATGGGAGCACTTGCTGCTGATTACTGGGTGGAGGGGGGAGGAAGGGACACACACTGCCAGACTGGCAGCACATGAACATGTGCTGCCCATTGCTAGTCTGGCAGTGTGTGAGGGTATGCCGCCAATCACCAGAGTGGTAGGGTGCATGCCACCAACTGAAAATATGGCAGCATGAGAGTTTGTACTTCCAATTGCCAGTTTTGTGCTAGAGGAGTGTGTACCACCTATCATCAAGGGGATGGCGAGGCAGAGGAGGGCATGCAGGGTAGACATGCACTGCTTGTCACTGATCTGGCTGAACAAGAGCATATGTCACAGGTCATTAGTCCTGCATCATAAGGGCACATATTGCTATTTGCCGATCTGGTAGCACAGAAGTGTGTACTTCCGATCACCCGGTGGGTGGAGTGGCGGTGGGGTTGGGTAGGTATGCACCGCCACTCCCCAGTTTGGTGGCACAGGAGATGTGCTACAGATCACTGTGTGGAGAGGTGGCAGCAGGTGGGTTGCCACTGGTTTCTGAGCAGGTAGGGTGGTGGAGCATACAGGAAGGACCTATATAACAACAGGGTATATAGGAAGGTCCTGAGACATACAGGTAGATCACAGGAAAGTGGCGGGAGTAGAAGTGTGCTATTCTGGTCACCATTGTGGGCCCCAGGGCACTCCTTGTAGAGTACAGCCAGTGATCAAGATCTGGCCCTGACCAAATGTAAGGAGGGGTGCCTGTCCAGAGTCTAGTCAGGTGGAGAATCTCTAGCTGACACTCTATTAATGCTCTACTTTGTGGGTGCCACCCACCTACATGATCAGGGACCTTTGCTGGTGAATAGTTCTGTCCCTTTTTTCTAGCTCCCTCCCTGTTCTGTGATTACTTGGATCCCTAGAGCTGCTATACTTTCCCTCCTTAGAGCCAGTTCATGTCTGCTCATCTTGCTTCACTCCACATTTGTCTACACAATATCTGTCTCTCTTAGGAATTTTGTGAAGTTGCCTTCCTGTGCTTCTCACCCAGGAACACTGCTCACTTTGTCTCAAGATGGCCACACTGTGCTGGGCCAGCTGGCAGGGTCCTTATGATCCACACATCTCCTCATTTGCTGTTTTCTTTGAGTTTCTCATTAAATTCAGTGCTCAATCTAATTCTTCATCCTTCACCATGCTGCTCAGGGTTCCAAAATTGTCATCTGTATCTGTTTCATTTGGTTTCTTGCATCTTTCTGTTGGGGGACAGCATGGTGTGTCTAAGTCACCATCTTCAAAATTATTGCCATTATATTCCATTTTATAGATGAAAAAACTGAGGGTTAGTAGAATATTAAAAAGTTCCCAAATCACAAAACTGGTAAGTGAGGAAGCCAGAATTTATACTCAGGATGGCCTGACTTCAGAGCTCATGCTTTTAATATTTAGACTGTGATAGCTGTAATAGTTCTGTGTTTATAAGAGAATTGACAGACTGAAGAAATTAACATTATGATTGCTATATCTTTTTTTGGTTTGTAATTAGACTTTTGCCCTTGAAGTTATTAAATCTACTCATGAATGTTGGAAAGCATTGCTTATGAAGAAGTGTGATGGAGGGTCTATAAATTGGTAAGAATTTATGTTTTCTATGTAATGCTATTTTATTATTAATTGGTAATAAATAACCATATAATGTCACTCAGATTTTTCTTTTTAAGAGAAATATATATATATATATATTTCTTTTTTCATTTACAAAATACTTACAGAACTCCTATTCAAAAAATATTACTGAATGTTGGACATTTTGATGCTGTGAAATGAGACGAGAGAAAGTAGAAATGGTTATGTTTCTCAAGGGACTGATGAGTAAACAGACATTTAATTGTAAGACACTGTTATAGGTGCAAAGGTTGAGTAAAGAACATTAGTGATTTTCAACATGCAAACATTTGGTTATTTTATTTAACATCATTTCTTGTTAAGAACAGTAAAAGCTATCTTGTTCAACATGATCTGAACCATTACTTAATTGATTAAGGTGAGTCAAACAATTGTTATTTTAATTTAAAATTGAAATGTACATTCATTTGCCAATCTTTGCATATAGCTCTGAGACCTTTTTTTATGAGTGTGAGCTTGCTAATGGAATTTCACATCACCTTTCTTACTATAAACTAGTTTCAATTTCAGTATTTGGCCAGGACTTTAAAGGTCCTGTAATATGACTTAAAATCTAGCACTTAAAAACCCTTGTAGATTGTTTTTGTAGTCTTTTACAGTTTTCTCACCCACACATATATGACACCACGTTTTCATAGTGGTTCACCTTTATCGAGGTTTCTTAGGGCATTCTATTTAGCGTTCATATAACAATTCTACTTCCATACTCCTTTCATTGGTGTACATAATTGCTGCTTAAAATATGAAATTATAGTAATAATTACAACTGACATAAACAGGTTTAGGACTAAAATCAATTGATTCTTGGTAAGCCTAACTGTTGAGAGAAAAAGCACATAGTCCTTTTGGAGAGTAGAGTGTTACCTAACTTCATTTCCCATTCCAGAGTCAGGAGAAATTCCATTCATTCTTTCACCAATTGCTGATTGAGGGTCTACTGCCAGGCTCCGTGCAGTAGATACTAGGTATACTATTGTGAATATAATTATTAGACTCCTTGCCCTCTCAGAGCATGAAGTCTGAGAAGGAAGAGAGACATTAAAGAAATAATTAGAATAAAGTCATGAGACAAAATAAGGAATTAATCTTAAGAAATCTTTTTATCCAAGCCATGGAGAAGGGCCATCAACATGAATGCTTTGGCACTATACCTTCAGATTCCATTTATCTTGCTAGGTGATGAAACTGTCAAAACTTTGGTCTTTGTTCCCTTTTTTCTACTTCTTATGAAGATTGTTACCCTCTTTTTGTTATCATAGTCTTAAAATTTAGGTAATTTTTATAATTTAAATAATATGATTTATTACCAACCAACTCAAAACCAAAGCCACTACTGTCAAGTCAATTCTGACTAATAGTGACCCTATGAAGCATAGTAGAACTTCCCTATAGGGTTTCCAAGGCTATAAATTTTTATGGAAGCAGACTGCCACATCTTTTTCCTGTGAAGTCGATAGTGGATTCAAACTGCCATACTTTTGTTTCACAGCTGAGCACTTTAACCACTGCACCACCAGGTCTTTTATTAACAACAGAGCCAGATAATTAAATGTTCTATAGTCCTTACTACCCTAGTAACTGCTATTTCTTATGGTCTAGAAGTCAGATATTAATATTATGAGCCCCTCCAAAAAGAATTCTCGTATCATCCAAGGAAATATTTACTTGCTATTTGCTTTCTTATTATTTGCTTCCTAATCATACTTTCTGAAAAGCATGTACTAATCCTTTATGGTACTTGAATCCCAGGTTGTTTCATTTATGCAGCTAGAGACCACCTCTTTGGTTAGATTATTTACAGGCTGATGATAGCCTTCCTTCTTGCTATTTCTTACTCTGTTTACTCTGAAAGTAGCTTTATTTCTAAGCTTTGTAGTCATTTTGCTATATCCTCTTGTTGTTGTTATGTGCCATCAAGTCGGACCCAACTCATCGCGACCCCTCCTTGGGTTTCAGAGGTGGTATCACTACAGAAGTAGATGACCCAACCTTCCTTCTGAGGAGTGGCTGGTGGGTTTGAACCACCAGCCTTCTGGTTAGCAGTCAAGTGCCTTAGGCACTATGCTACCAGAGCTCCTTATCCTCTTAGGTAATGATAACATGCTTTGACCTCTATACTGTGTTCCAAGGACCTCTGGTGGCATTGTGGTTAAGGCATCAGGCTGCTAACCAAAAGATTGATGGTTCAAACCTGCCAGTTGCTCTGTGGGAGAAGGACAAGGGCCAGTGTGCTTCCGTAAAGATTTGCAGTCTTAGAAACTCTCTGGGGGACACTGTGAGTCAGAATCATCTTGATAGTGGTGGATTTTCATGCACTTTCCTAAGTGTTTATATATATTATCAATGAATACTCACAAAAGCCTTATAAGATATGTATCATGGTTATCTCCATTTTACATTAGGAATTTCAGGCACAGAGAACTTAAGTAACCTAAAGTCACAGTGATTGATGAAGCTAGGATTTAAACCCAGATTCCAGAACCCTACCTCTTAAACAGGTGTACTCTACAACCTCTTCTACATTTTTAAGAAATACAACAAAATAATATCTAAGTTAAGAATTTTCAGGATATGAATTCAAGGATATGCATCTAGATGTTATTGTTGTTGTTATGTGCCGTCGAGTCGGCCCTGACTCATAGCGACCCCTCCTTGGGTTTCCAAGGCAGTATCACTACGGAAGTAGGTTTGCCCAACCTTCCTTCCGAGGAGTGGCTGGTGGGTTTGAACTGCCAGCCTTCTGGTTAGCAGTCAAGTGCTTTAGCCACTATGCTACCAGATAGGAAGTCAAAATCTCTTCAGAATTTTAACTAATTTTTGTCACTTTTTCTTTATTATTACTATTTAATTTGTAAAATGGGAGCTCTGGTGGTATAATGCCTAAGGCATTTGACTGCTAACCAGAAGGCTGGCGGTTCAAACCCACCAGCCACTCCTTGGAAGGAAGGTTGGGTAATCTACTTCCGACCCAAGGGCAGTGAGTTGAATTTGTAAAATATATTCAAAATTGTTAAATTTTTATTTCTTCTGCCTTCACACAATACAACCCCCCTCCTCCATTTTTTTACCATGTTGCCCACTTGTTTCAGTTTTTAAAAAACCAAACCCAAACTCACTGCTGTTGAGTCAGTCCTGACTCATAGCGACTCCTCCTTGGGGTTCCAAGGCGATATCTCTATGGAAGTAGATTGCCCAGTCTTCCTTCTGAGGAATGGCTGGTAGGTTTGAATCACCAGCCTTCTGGTTAGCAGTCAAATTAAGTTCATATTATTTATCACAGTGGTTCTGTCACTCAGTGTGTGTGTTTTTAGCATTACCGTTACCTTGGGAAATTGTTAGAAAATGCGATGCATTTTTCTCCTCTCTAAACCTAGTGAATTAGGATCTCTGCAGGGGTTGGGGTCTAAGTATGTACAAGTTTTAAAAGTTTCCGAGGTGATTCTGATTAGCCTCTCTTCTTAAGAACCACTGATAAAATCCAAACTTCTCATGGAAGAGGGAACAAGGCCTTTCAAGATTTGGCCTGTTATCTGTCTAGCCTTGGATTCTATCATTTCTTGACTCTTATTTCATGTTCCAGAACCTTGGAACTACTTGTTACTTCTCACATGACATTCATTATCTTACTGATCTTTAGGTCTTTACTCATTCTGCTTACTTTGCCATAGTTATGCTCTTATTTCTTGAGCTGGCTACCTTGCTTATTTTTCAAGACTTCAGTTTTGTCTTCACCTTCTCTATGCAACTTTCCTATATACCCCTGCCCAAAACCTTGGTCTTTGTTCCCTTTTTTCTACTTCTTATGAAGATTGTTACCCTCTTTTTGTTATTGAAGTCTTAAATTCCCAGTCCTCTCTTTATTTCTTGCCCCCCATATACTTCTATCGTTGCATTTACCACAGTTATATTAAATAATTGGTCTACATATCTGTCTACTCTAAAGTATAAGTTCCTTGTGAACAGATGAATAAAGATGCTCTGGTGGTGTAGTGCCTAAGGCATTTGATTGCTAACCAGAAGGCTGGTGGTTCAAACCCACCAGCCTCTCCTTGGAAGGAAGATTGGATCTATTTTCATAGTGAAACCTCCTCAGAAACTCAAAGAAGGGTCGCTATGAGTCAAATTGACTCGACAGCAGTGAGTTTGGTTTTGGTTTATTCACCTTTACACTCCTAATGTCTGGCATACAGTAGCCACTCAATAAATATTTGTTGGAGTAGATTGTTTAATATTTTAAAGCCAACAAATATGTTAATTTTTAAAAAGTCTAGGTGGTGACTCTTTTGTTTCCAGAGGTGCGGCATTTATGAAATTCATTAATTGATATTTTAGTAATTTTGTTTCTCCTAATGAATTATTTAAGGGACTGTGGTGGTGCAGTTCCTAAGTCATTTTTGACTGCTAACCAGAAGATTGGAGGTTCAAACCCACCAGGCACTCTGCAGAAGGAAGATGAGGCAAACTACTTCCATTAAAAATCGGAAACCCATTGGGGGGGTCACTGTGAGTCAGAATCTACTTGATGGCAATGAGTTTGGTTTTTTTGGTTTAATGAATTATTTTGGTTGAAACTGTTACTCTCTTTCTCACTGCTTAAGGAGCTCTGGTAGCCTAAGGCACTTGACTGCTAACCAGAAGGCTGGTGGTTTAAACCCACCAGCCACTCCTCGGAAGGAAGGTTGGGCAATCTGCTTCTGTAGTGATACCACCTTGGAAACCCATGGAGGGGTCCTATGAGTTGGGTCCAACTCGACAGCACATAGCAACAACAATACAACAGTATTTACTAAAGAGCTGTATATTCTTTTAGTAGTAAAAGATTTCATCATTTCTTTTCTTAACTAAGAAAACTTTAAACTCCATTCTAGGAGTATATGTATTTTTACCGTTTGAATTTACTCTCCAGTGCCTCTCATCCTTTCTTCAACTACTATCTCTTCAGTCAC